AAAAGATGGGACAAGGAGTTTCAGCATAAACAGCTCTGTGCAGGTTTCTGTGCACAACAAAGTCTGTCCCCAGCTGGCAGGAGGGAAATGCTGTCACTGGAGCTCATTCCCGCAGGTTTATTGCAGTAGGAGGAACAGGGCAGGTCCATCAGCTCCAATGGATACCTGGGTGCTCCAATGGCACCACCATCACCTCTGCCCCGGGGTCCCACGGCTGCCAGACAGGAGCTCCTGTACTTTGGGAGCTTCCACCTCCTATATTTGTCTCCAGACCTCCCCATGACCCAGCCACAGCCCCAGGGCTGGTTCCAGGCACCAATATCCTCCCCAGGGCTGGAGCAGGCACTCCCAAATCCAGCATTTGGGACCACAGTCCCCTCCAGCACCCGGTGATGCCACCAGTGCATTTCCCCCACCAGCTGCTCTGGGTGCTGCGTTAAACACATTTGGGTGTTGCAACCAGGTCAGAGAAAGGAGCCTTTTCCCTGTGAGGGCAGAGGGCTCCCTGTGCCCTCCACCCCGTTTTTCTCTGCCCCATTTTCCAGAAGGGGTGGGGGACCCGCACACAGGGCTGGCAGGAAGGGAGTCATTCCCGAGGAACATTGCTTCTAAACCACTCCAATATGGCAAGGCAATGTTAACCAGCTGGGAAAGCTCTTTAAAGACCCTTAATTAAAGGCTGGCTGTTGCACAAGCCCCTTTCCCATCCCCACCAGAAGCCTTTTCCCAGTTTCCTGCCCTTCATCCCTCGCACTTTCTTTCCCGCTGGCAGCGTGCTGGGGGGTGTCCTCCAGCAATCAGCCCCTGCCGTCACATGGAAGTTTGAACTCACAGCAAAAGGGAAAAAAAGGGGAAAACTCCCTCCCTGTTGCCCTTCAGGCACAGCTGCAGCAGCAGCTGCCTGCGTGGATGGCAGTGGTGGGGCAAGGCTGGCACAGCTGTGCCAGCCTGGCAGTGGGAGCATCAGTTTAATTGTCTGCACCACCACTCACCAGCCACGGGAAACTGGGAGAAACGGGGCTGGATCAGCCCCTCCAGCACTATTTCTCCCCTCTAACACTGTCCCTCATGTAATGAGCTGTGGTATCACTCAGTGCCCCACCACTCACCAGCCCTGAAGACTCCAGCCACCCCCCTCCTCCTGCCAGCTCTGTGTGTCCATGGCCCCTGGAAAAGGAGCAGCAGCAGCACTACCCCATCCCACATATCTCCCTCTACCCCACACCAACAGGGGCTACAAGATTAGGGCCTGGGGCTCATCTCCTGCCAGCAGAATCTGGCCAGAAAGGCATCGATTTATTCTTCCTAATGATATAAATTAATTAAACAAGGCAACATGTTACTGTTTCTAATCAAAGAAAAAATTTGGCATTCTCTCATGACGGCTGAGCACAACCACACTGCTCCATCCCAAACACCACCCTGGCCCTGCAGCCCCCAAAAACAGCAAGAAGGATGCCCCACACCCCTGGCAGTGCCCCTCCTTACCAGCCAGTGCCAGCTCCTGCTTCCTGAACCAGAAGAACCTCCAGAGCTTCAGAATCCCCCCAAGATTCACCTCCCTCCCAGCTTTTATAGCCTCCAGGTGCCCCACAGCCCTGGCAGCACGAGCCTCACCTGGGGACTGTGGGGTGGGATGGGTGCAGCCATACAGAGAGCAGGGAATGACCACAGATGGGCACTTTGAGGGAAGAGCATGTCTTTCCCTGTTGCAGGTTATAAACATTCCCAGAGCACATCAAGATGAAATGTGTAATTACAAATCAGCCCTGCTGCTCCTCATCTCCAGACCCACGCAAAAGCAGGGAAGGTTTAACTTCTTCCTTGTGGAGCCTTTTTTTTTTTTTCCTGCCTATTTTTGTTCTTTCCCTTCTGTCCTCCTAAATTCGGTATGAAAGAAAAAGGAGTAAATAAAAATTTTGGAAAGCTCTTTCAGCCCTGCTCTTCCTGGCTTATGGAGCGGTTGGAATGGAGGGGGAGGCCCAGAGCACAGGAACCACAGTGCTTTGGATAGCTGGGTTTTCAAAACAAAAATGGGGTTAGAAATGGAAACTTTGGTTAACTGAGACGGGGATGAAAGCTTCATTTCATACTTGGCTGCAAAGCTGGATCTCCATCACCCTCTTGCTCTGACATTTCCCCCATTTAACCTGGTGCTCCGTGGGCGTTTTTCCAGCTCCATGAGCTCAGGGGGTCTTGCCATCAACCCCTGAGCAAGCAGATGTGGGGATACCACTGCCCAGACTCTCTTCTGCCCCAGCAAACAGCACAGCTCAGCATCACCTTGTTACAACTTTATTTCCAGAGGCTTAGAGCAGGAAGATCCAGGGGGTTGAATGTTGAAGGTCCCTTCTAACCCAAACCATTCCAGAATTCTGTGACCCTGGGGAATGAAACCTCCCAGTGGAGAACACTGACTCCTTGAAACCCCCGTGGCACCAGGTGGACCCACACCAAGGACAGCACGAGTGGGACGTGGGTGCTGTCACCAACCTGCACTGAACCACTTTGGCTGGACACACATCGCTCTACTGGAGCTCTTGAAAGCAACAGAAACGCCCCAAAACTGAGGTGGACACAAGCCTGAGGTGGACACAAGCCCGTGCTTGGCTCTTCCCCCCAGGAGATTTCATCCCCTTCCTGCCAAAGCTGCTTTTATTGTCTTGATCTAATGAAGTGCAGACTTCACCTGGGCAGACCCATAAGTGGCTCCTCTCGGAGGCAATGAATAAAAATACTTGACCTCATGAGCTGCGGGGCAGCAATTAGTTTAAGCAGGGGGTTTGTGTAACACTTCAAAAGTCTTAATCCGTGCGGTCAGCCCTGGCACGGTATTTGCCAGAACCTATTGAGTAGTCTTAATGAGTCTGCAAAGCAAGCTTTCAATACATTTTGGGTCGCTTCAGATGCTTTAAATGGCATAGTCTATATGGTATTGTGCGGCTTTAGAAAGGGCCGGGCTTTAAAAAAGTATGGCTCCCTTTCACAGGGCAGACAGAAACCATCTTTCGAGCCGGGACCCTTAACGTTTTGCATATCAATATGGCTGGGGCTGAATGCAGTCACTGAGCTGAGAAATAGGATCACTATCAGCGTTTCCAGGCTTTCACAGGCACTTGGGAAACTTTAAAGCCCTTGGCGGAGAATAATTTGGTCGAATGTCGTGGCTGGAAACAAAACCTAAACAAGCAGAGCGCAGTCCATCACCGGGAGCTGCCAGCGCGGCTGACAAGGGGCTCCAGCCGCTCCGACATCCCACCCCCGGCGGGGCGGGGGCCGGGCCACCGCCGTCCTGGGGGGACATAGCCAGGGGTCCCTGCACTTAGCCCACCCCGGCATCGCTCAGAGGGCTCTGGGGCTTCAACCAGCACAAAACCAGTCCTGGCTTCATCTCTTCCCGCTGCTCTCTGACAATATCTCGGTTTATAGCGGTCATAAAGCCCCCCCAGGCTCTGGCACAGCACTGGTGGCATCTGTGTTGGTCCCTGGTGCCCTGGACACCTCCAGGGATTGTCACCATCACACCCCCTTCCCCACAAACAGGCCACTGTTTGCATTTAACTCCGACAGTCCATGAAGCCCATTCCTGCACATGTCACTAGTCCTGGGGCTGAACAGGAACATGTTCAACCTAAGCTCAGAAAATACCATCACCTCCACGGGCACAATGGAGGTGCCAGCTGGGAAACGGGAGCTGTGAGGAATAGAGCACAATGTGTGGGTGTAACTCCACCCTGGAGGTGAGAAGACAGGGGCTGGGGGTGGTTGTGCATCCCAGGAGAAGTGGGACCTGCTGCCTCCATCACCCCGGGCAGCAGCATCGAGGAGGGGAGGCACCTTGGCAGGATGGGCAGCTTTGGGATGCTGCAGGATGGAAGGAACCACAGCCAAAGCATATTTGCAAACAATGCAGGGCCTGAGGGACCTTCAAAACACATAATTAGCTCATTAAAGAGACAAATACAAGTCACTAATAAGATATTAGAGGTTAATTAAATGTTTTCCCCATCTTTAATTAAGGGAAAACTAGTTAGTACAGATTCAACTAATTTCTGCAGCCTCCTGTGATGACCCTCGATGGCTGCAGATTTGGAAATCTATTGAGATTATTGAGCTGACAGGGCAGAGTTTGGGGATTTTGTCTGCTCTGCTTGGGAATTAGGGGGAAGCAGGAATTTTCATCCTAAGGGTCAGAAATGCTCTGCTCTATCAGCTGGGTTACTCAAGGGATATAGGAAGGGATGTGATACTCAACTCCCTCTCCCTAACCCAGACTTGGCATTTATTCAAAACTACTGCTGTTAATTGTTTTCTTAACTAGGCAGTTCCTGAAGATTATATTCCATCTGCAAAACACCTTCCGTGCTCAGGGGCTGCTGCTCGAGGGCCTCACCCACCACCCCTGGGCCCTCACTGCCTGTGTCAGCACTGGAGTTTGGTTTAGCAAAATCCCACTGGTCGCCCACCCCGGAGTCCAGCTGGTTTCCAAAGGTTTTATTATGGATGGTGGATCCATCATCCACCCCCCACACACACACACAGCCCCATCCACACACCCACACATCCCTCTCACCACCTGGAACAGTCCCGGTCAATACAGATCAGCAAGATTTATATGGAAGAATATTTAATCTGGTCAGGGAGGGGAGAGGGGCCATCTGTGGTTTTATTTCTTAAATATTTCTCTCTACTCCAGAAAAGTCCATTTCTTGCCAGAAAAGGTCCCATATAAATTAGAACGAAGGGAGGAAGTTGCTGGTGGGGCGGCCACGAGCATCCCTGGACCACGATGACCACAAGCATCCCTGGACCACGATGACCACGAGCATCCCTGGACCACGATGACCACGAGCATCCCTGGACCACGATGACCACGAGCATCTCTGGACCACGATGACCACGAGCATCCCTGGGCAACGACCATGAGCATTCCTGGATCGTGGCAGCCACGAGCATCCCTGGACCCCGGCAGCCAGGAGCATCCCTGGATCGCAGTCCTGGCTCCAAATGGTGCCGGGCAGAGCAGGTCCCAGCATGGTGGAGTGCCCCGGGGGTGGCTCAGTCCCACCCAAAGTCCTGCCCTGTCATCTGATAGAACTTCATGTTGAAGGGTCTGTAGAACTCGCGCAGGCGCTGCACCACCTGTGGCTCGATCCTGGGGTGGGGCCGCCCCTTGGACTTGCCCAGGCAGCGAGGTTTGCTGCCCTCGGGCTTCTTCAGGCAGGGGAAGCCCTTGGTCTCATTGAAGTAGAAATGTTTGTCCGTCACCACCCTCTGCAGGCCCAGGAAGTCCTGGACACGGCCCATCTCCCCCGCCGGGTCGCTGACGAGCCTCTCCCCGCTGACGAAGAGGAATTTGGAGAGGGGGAAGTACTGCAGCCAGTTGTCCAGGTGCTTGGCGTAGATCCCGATCCTCACCGCGCTCCAGCTCGTGTCGATCAGTCCCGTGCTGGCGTTTTTGAAGGCCAGGGCCTGGAAGGTGGGGATGGAGGGGTTTTTGGAGAGGGTCTGTGTGTAGTCCGAGATGGCCCTGGTGACCGGGTTCCGAACCACCACGATCAGCTTCGTGTCCCGGGACATGTTGTAGATGCGCCGAGGGGCCTCCTTGGTGACAAAGTAGCTGGGGGTCTTCTCCATGGTGATCTGCCCCTCCAGAGTCCTTGGCATCAGGCTCCTGGGGAGACAGAGGGGCACGGTCAGGGCTCAAAGCACAGCTGCTCCGACCTGATGCCACGATGAGCAGGAACAAGCCCCAAAACCTGCCCAGAAATGCTCAGGGGCCTCCCAGCCACAACCCCCTCTCTCCCTCCTCTGTCCTACCAGCCAGGGACACCACCTTGGTCACACCCCACTGGTCACCTCCTCATCTTCAAACTCCTCCCCAGGAGTCCCCATGTCCTGGTCTCTCCATTCTGCTCACCCTGTCTCAGTGTCCCCTTTGTCCCCTCCAGAGTCTGTCCCTGGGAAGGGACTCCCTGTCACTCTGCCCCATCAGCAGCACATCCAGGCTGTTGGTCCCCCTTGGAGGTTCCCCACAACCCCCTTCCCAATCCAGAAATCCCTTCCCAGGACACTCCAGGACCCGCTACACATGTTTTGGGGCAGGGCTGGTTTTCATCCCCAGCCTCCAGGCAAATTTCATGTCCTGGAGGTGCTGACCCACCATGTGGGACTGGAAAGAACAAAATCCCATCACAGGGGTGATGCCCAAGCAGTAGCTGGGGATGGAGATGCCCCCAGGGCTCCCTCCTCCTCTGCCCCAGCCAGCGAGCAGTTAAAGAGAAAAAGACAGTTTCCTTCTAAAAAGAAAGGCAGGAAATCTCGGAGGGCCCAGCCATTGTGCTGGGGGAAATTCACTGCCCTGATTGTTCCCTCGTGCACTTTAATGAGGCATTAATTACCAGAGAAATTACCCAGCCGTGTCACCCTGTGTGACAGAACGGGTCCTCCCTGCCACCAGCACAGGCATCTGCCCCAGAGCTCTCCACATCCCCCTCTTCCACTCCCAAGAAGAATCATGAAATTCTGGAATGCTTTGGGAAGAGACCTTACAGACCATCCAGTTCCACCCCCTGCCACGCGCAGGGACACCTTCCACTAGCCCAGGTTGCTCCAAGCCCTGTCCAACCTGGCCTTGGACACTTCCAGGGATCCAGGGGCAGCCACAGCTTCTCTGGGATCCCCATCCCACTGCTCAGAGGGTTGTGCCCAGCAGGGAGCTGGGTCCCCACAGCAGTTGGGGACAGGAACTGGCCACGCTGCAGCCAAGGCTGTGCTGGGGGGAAGTCAGGCCTCTGCCCGGCAGCATCTGTTCCTTATGTAATGGGAAAAGCTTGAGGTTTCTGGGATTTTTTCCCCTGGACTCAGGAAAGAACACTTGATTAAAAGCACTTGTGAGTGATGCTGGGCCCCGCACAGCTCCCTCCCCCAGACAAGAGGCAAAAGCCACTTGTGGCTTCCCCCCCCTTTTATTTTGTAAGTTTTTGCACAGTGCCAGCGTTTTTAGAGCCACTTCTTGTTCCCGGTGTCCTCTCCTGGCAGCACTCCGTTGGCACCAGTGGGATGCCCTTCCAGAGGTCCCTAAATCCTGGGGCAGCCGTGGGTCCCCATCCTTTCCAGCAGCTTTTCCCCATCACCCCAAATAACAGCACTTACCAGAGAGGCTGACTGACAGAGTTCCTGCTGGGAAGCATCTTCCCAAACCAGGATCAGACCCTCACACCCACACCTGTCCCCTCCCTGCTGTGCCCATAGCCAAGGAAAACCCAACGGCATGGCTCTGGACCCACTGGGAGCACACCTCCACCCTTCCTGGGAGCACACCTCCTCCCTGCTGCCTGGCTCCCCTGCCAGTCAAGCATCTTCAGAAAGAGCCACAGGGTTTTCCAGGCTGCTTCCTGCAGCTTCTCCAGGCAACTTGCTGAAGTATCTCTGCAGTGCTTCCCTGGAGGGCACTGGGATTTCTGCACAGCACAACAGCTCCTTCCTCCTGCTCACCCACCCCAAACCCTCGCAGCAAGCACGGACTTAGGACCTAAACCAGTCCCTCTCCTCAGTGGGCAATAAAATGTTTATCAGCAGCAGCAAACTCTTGGAATGACGTGATGGGAGATCCTGGAGAGTCTGTGTTAAACCACAGTGGTGCTTTCCTCAGCCTGTGCTCCAAACCCTCCACCTTCCACTAGCCCAGGTTGCTCCAAGCCCCGTCCAACCTGGCCTTGAACACTTCCAGGGATGGGGCAGCCACAGCTGGAAAGCCTCTCTTACCTCTCTCTTCCTTCTTGCAGAGGGACAACAAGGGTCAAGCTGATCCCACAGAGCCAAGGCCATCCCTAAGGGGTCCGTGGGGCAGAGGGACCCCCAGAGCCCCCCAGGATCCCACTCACCCACACCCAGCAGTACCAGCACCTTCCCTGCCCCCATCCTGCTGGCCCAGGGCTCCTCAGCTCCCGGGAGCTGCACCTACTTTAATTAACACCAACCACACCATCCAAGGCTTAATCACCACGTAATTAACAGGGAACATTTAATAAAAACCCACGTCAGGGCAGCTCTGTTTGCACAGGCACCCCCAGAGCTGCGGCCCCTGTGCCTGTGCTAGGGTGCAGAGACCTTCACCCCCCAAACTGCCCCCCAGCAGGGACAGCTGGGTCCCAACATCCCAGGATCCTGTCGGGAACAGCGGCCTCCAAGCACTTAATTGTGCAGCACCTCCTCTTCCTGAGCAGCTCAATCACCCCCAGCTACTTGGGAGATAATTACGCAATTTCACATTATCATTAACTCCCTAATACTTTCCCCTAAATTACCCCAGTTAATTATTGATAACCCCGCTCTCCCTCCAGATCTGGCTTAAACTGGCAAAGAGCAGAGCGGGCTTTGTTATGCCCCACTTTAATGCAAACATGGGAAACTTTAATTAAATTTGCAGTTAATTCTTATTGACCTTAAGAGAACACCCTGGGAACACCAGGCAGTGCCTACAGGTACGTGACACTGCAGTGAGGGAGCACCGGGCAGCCTTGGAAGGAGTTGGGATTTCAAGAGGAGACTGTGCCCAGGAGGAGGGATACAACCCTTTTAACCTTCCTATTAAGCTGATAAATTGTGATTTTTAATTAATAAAACAACTGGCATTTGAGAGGCATCAGAGATGGGATTTCCTACACGGACATATTCAACACGTGAAATGTTTCCTCTGCTGAGGTAACATGCAGGAAGTTACAGCAGATAAAATGATGATAAAAATGCAGAAATGCATTAAATACTGATTAACAGCCGTGGCAGGCAGGGAATCAAAGCAGACTTCAAAAACTGGGCCAACATAACTTTCCAGAGTTAATTGGTTTGTGATTCCTCGACTCTGGGATGATTTTGGTGCAGAGGAAGGAGAACTCCTCCCAGCACGGAGCTGAGAGCCCAAGGGACGCACCCTCAGGAGCTCAACCTCGCTGATAAATAACTCTGCAGCCCAAAGCATCCCTGAGTTATCACCCAGGGCAGCTTCATAAGGAAAATTAACTCTATCCCAGCCAAAACCAGGAGAGCAGGACAGTCCCTGCCTACAATTCATCCCCACTGAAAGGCCAGGCAGAACCTTAGCATGGTTGGAACCTTCCCATCTGCTGGGAGCACGATGGGAAACCCCAAACCCCAGATCAACCCCAGGGGTGATGGGGGCCATCAGATCAGGGGGATGGGAGCCAGGGGGTCAGGGGGATGGGTACTATGGGCTCAGGGCTTACAGGTTCTATATTACCACCAAAAAAGATAAAGGGGGAAAAAAAACCCTTATCTATTTTTTTTTTTTTTAATGAGCATTGACCAAAAAGCCCAGACAAAAGGAGTGAAAGGAGGGGATTTCTCCCGGGTGGGACATGGTTGAGAGCTTTCTGCAGGGCAAAGAAAGTGACTCTTTCAAGGCACTAAGATGGGCCATGGGACGACGTGGGGGACAAAACCCCCGGGCAGGGGACACCCCGTGCTTCCAGGGGACACTCTCCCTCCCGGGCAGGGCGACAGGGGCTCGGTGGGGGACAGAACCGTTTTTGTGTAAATGTAAAACAGTTTGGAACCGGGAGAGGGGGGACAAGGCTCGGGACAGATTTATCCTCTCCCAGCAGACACCCGGTACCACCCGGATCTGCATATGAATCACCCCCAGGCTTATCTCAGCCCCGGGGACAAGGCTGCCTTTGTGGCCCCACGGCAGCTATGAAGTTGTTAAACTGGAACCAGTTATGGAGATATCGGCCTCTTCCTTCCAGGCAGCTCCAATAGCAGCACCTTTGCTGGGAAGAAAGGTGGGAGAGAGCAGGGAGGGGGATCAGATGTCGGGAGGGACAGATCCAGCCCCGGATCCCTGCTCCCGGCTGCCGGGGGACATCCCAGACCCCCCATTCCCCAAAAATAGTGGGGCTATGTGTGGGCAGCCGTGCTTACCCCCATCCCAGGCCACTCCATGACCTTCTCTTCCCGGAGGATGCTCCGGGGCATCTGTTGAACCTCTGCAGAGCTTGGAGGGCTGAGCTGGGAAGGCTGAACTGGGGAGGATGTACTGGGAAGGCTGAACTGGAAAGGATGCACTGGGAAGGCTGAACTGGGAAAGATACACTGGGAAGGCTGAACTGGGAAAGATACGCTGGGAAGGGTGTACTGGGGAGGATGCACTGGGAAGGCTGAACTCACCAAGCCGCCCGGGAGCAAATTAGCCCACGTTCCTTTTTCCTCCTCATTACTGTGATGTTCCCCCTCTCCTCCGAAGGGGCAGCGGGTCCTGCCAGTGCCCCCCAGCCCGCGGAGCCCCCCCGGCGTTCCCCATCCCCGAGCCGCCTCCATTATTTTTTTTTTGATTCTTTCACCAATTCAAAAATGTGCAAATGAGGCCGCGGCTTCCCAATCAGGCCTGGCCGGGAGCTAATTGGCTTTAAGCAGGGAAACCTGAATATGCTAATGACGGCAGTAACAAGCCCGTGATGCGCCTGGAAGGGGAGCCAAGCCCTGGGCTGCACCACGGGCTGACTGAGACACGTCAATTAACAACAAGGAAGATAATTTATTAATGCTCCTTTGCACCCCCCTGCCCTTTGCTCCTAATTACGGTTTGATACATGAAACATCGAGGAGGTTTGACCGGGTCCTGCTCCCAGCTGGAGCATCCCCGGGCAGCCCCCAGAGCCTCCTCCTGCCCCCCAGAAGCCCCTGTCCCCATTAAGCCACAGCCCAGGACCACGACTGGGGGGGTCTCCAGCCAACACAGGGGACCCCAGAGCTCTCCCACCACCAGACCACGGGGACAGGGTCCCTGGGCTGGGATTCACAGGATAAAGAGGCTCAGAGGAGGGGGAAAATGAGATGGGCTGGGTGCTGCTGCCTGCCAGGGCTGCTCCCCACAGGGTCCAAGCCCCCCCAAACCCTTCCCGAGGGGTTCCCTCCTCAGCTGGGCTGGAGGGCAGGAGGGGAGCAGCAGTGGGGGGTGTTGGGAGCTCTGGGAAGGGCCGGGAGCCAGAGAGTTTTGTTTTTGACGTGGCATCAAGATCTGGGAGATGAGGAGCGAAGGAAAGGGGAGAAGATGGAGCCAACATTTGCATTTCTAATGGAGTGGCTGCTTTCACTGGTCACCCGACACCCAGCTATGGATGGACCCCACAAGGACTGGGGCCATGGGGGAAAACACATCTGCTGTGCCCACCTACAGAGTCACCCAGACTTCTGTGTACCCCAATTCCCTGGCTGGAAGGGACAAAAAAGGCTGTGCACCCCCCAACCCCAAAGTCCCCACACCAACCCCGACTCCCACACACCCCCCAACCTGCTCCCCTCGGCCACCCCACACTTCCATCCCCATCCTGCCCACGTGTATGGCCAGAGGCTGCAATTAGGGGCAGCTCCAGGCCCTGAAGGTTTTTTTCCTTGCATGGTTATTCCAAAGGCTCTGGTGCATGCACATCACAGCCAGTGACCATGGAGAGCAGAAATCAGCCTTAACAAGGACACAGCTCCTTCCCTGCTCTGGAGCTACAGCTCTTTGGCCTCAGCATCCATGGGGTTCAGAGACAGTCCCTCCTCACTCCTCTCCAACGTGGAGCTGATATATGGGGTCACCCCAAAAATCTGAGAAGCTGAACTCCCCACTGACTCTGCTGGGGACCCCTCACAGTCTGCACCACTTGGATCCCTCCGTGCTTGTTCCAAAAGGGGTGACCCTGGGCCATGGCACAAAGCCCTGGGACTCCTGCTCCCTGATGGAGTCACCACCCACAGCTACAGAAATGAGCACTGGGGACCCCACAGTCCATTGAGAGCATTTCCTACCTCTGGAGCTCACCCAGAGATGGAACCACAGCAGGATGGTGCTGCCTGAGTGGCTGAAGGGGGATGTGAAGCAAACCCACCCCCCTGTTGAGCAGCATTTCCCTTGCCACAAGCACGGACTGAATAACCCTTAGCAACAAACCAGCTGAACCCACTGCTTGGCTTGAGACAGGTGGGGAACAGAACAGCTCCACGAACCCCCAAAAACCCTTCAGAAAATGGGGGCTGCCCAGACACGGCGGGGCACTGAATCCCCAAAACCCCTTCAGGAAGCAGGGGCTGGCATGTGCCCAGCTCTTCTGGGACACTGGACTGGGCTGGTGCACAGCCAGGGCAGGGATGCCGTGGGCACACACGGCCTCTCCATCCCCCTGGAATGAAGCAGGGCTGCGTGGCAGCAATTAGAAACCCTCTTCTCTCTCGGCTGGCTCCCCAGCGTCCCTTTGATTCCCCGTCCCGGTGTCCCGGGGGCGAGGGGACGGCCTGTGGCAGGTGTCTTGCCTGTGACCCGGGTCAATCGAGGGCTCTGATCTCCAAATGACCCTTCCCAGCAGTGCCTGTGTAGCAGCGCTCAAACAGCTTGCAGATGAAGGAGCAACAGACTGGAGATGATTTATTCAGGAATTAAAGGTTCAGTACCCCTTTTAAAGGCTGCGCCTCGGCACTGTCAGCCTTCATTGCACACAATTAAAGGGGTTTGCTGCCCCGGCCCCCGCCCTCCTGCCTTCCAGGGGAAGGAAATCAAACAAAACCAACCCCCCCGCCAAGCCCCGGCCCCGGGGGGGTGGAACTGTTGAAGGACTTGTGAACTCGGTGCAGGAGTGGCCCTGGGTTCCAGCCTGGGAAGCTGCTCCAGCTCCGTTCTCTGGCAGGGAACAGCTCGGCTCTGCTTGGGATGGGGATGCAGGCATTCCAGTTGGTCCCCACTCGCAGAAAGGGTTGCTCGGGGCTGGAGTCCTCTTTGCTCCCATGGCATCGGTGCAAAGCCTGTTCCTGCAGCTGGGGCTTGGAGAAACGCTCCTGGACCATATCCCTTCTCCTGGTTATCCTTCCTCCCGACCCCCTCCACAACTCAGCACCTCCAGGCTCGGAGCCAGGCTCTGTGACCTCACACCAGCAGGACTCAAACACAGCCTGGAATTTCCCTCTCACACCTGAGAGGGGAGATAAGGATAAAACCTGCCATCATCCCCGTTATTTTCTCCTCTTCCGAGCCCTGGGAAGCGTGGTGGATGGGGAGGGGAGCGGCGCTCGCGGGCTCGAGCAGCAGGAATTCAATGAAAAGCTTCCTTCCTCTTAGGAAAAGAAAGGGAAGGAGCCGGCTGGCAGCGGCGCTGTGATAATCCCTTTCCAAGGCAGTAAATTTTCCCGCAGCTCCCCCGGAA